TGCGGGGTGCGGGGTGCAGGGTTGGTTGTGCCACCTCTGCTGTCGAACTCTGATAAATACACTTCCCTAATATTTTGTTGAATAAATTGAATTGGCAACATCTCGAGTTCATATCTTAGTAATCAATGTACTTATTTACTATAACCCAAACCAGTTTTCCTAAATTTAACCAATTTTAGAATTCCTACTCACAAAAGGTATAAGGTATATAGAACAAGAAAGGATGGGAATATTTATAGTACCTATTCAGAACTGAAGTACCTACATGTATTTATGACATTTTCTCATCTACAAGAATTCAACGTGACAGATTTAAGATATATTTTAATGTAATTATACTATGTCTCTATATATACATAAATGATATTCAATGTTCGCACACATTTAAATTATCTAAACAATAGTCACACCCACAATGATAAAGCGTCGCTCGCTCCACCTTTTAGTGTCAAAAGTGTGAGAAGAATATGGGTAAACAAATCCTCCAATTTCCATCACATTTATTCAAGGCAGCCACCACAGTGACGTCACGCCTCCCCCTCTATCAGATAGAGAGGAACATGTAATTTCTTTGTAGGTAGTGTGAAGCGACACACCTTATTTACTTTGAAGGGTTGTGTTGATAATGAAATTCATTCAACCCTAGACCAATGCCTCGATATAACAGGTAAACAAACATATTGCTATTACTAATACAAGCATTGAAAACAGTTTAGTTGTTTTAGTCTTAAGACCAAAATATTACTAGCGATGTCAATTGGCTATTTTGTACCAAGACTTTATATTTATAAATGTATTTTTACATTACATATTACATTGGTCTTTGCTTTAAAAAAATAAAACTAATATACGTATTTAAATAATTTGCATTAACTATTTGTAGACATTCTCTACATAGATTTGTATCCTTTGTTCTGGTGTCACATTCGTTATCGATTCCCGGCCCGAGCCAATATCCTGTACGCGTCTATATTTATTCAACATATCATATGAGCATTAGCTTGATATATAGGCTCTGATCCTTCGACGGCTGCCCAATGTCCCTGATTTATGCTAATATTATCAAAACGAGAAGAAAAAGTATAAACGTGCTGTGCTACAGGAAATTACATGATATTTTTATTCTAACTTTTATTTCATCGAAACATTTAAAACCAGATAGGTTTATCAATAAATACTTATTTAGTTGTGTATACCAAATTTGCTTGCGACATGTGTCTTTAAATTGCTGCTAGTTACCTATCTTGTAGTACTACCAATGAGTTTCATCAAAATT